TGCTTAAAGTTCAAGGTGTGTGCATGTGGAAATAGAAGTTTAGAAGTTGACAAACTACAAGGCAGAATCCTAGGTTAAATGTGTTAACCCCCATATCCGCAGGAAGCAGTCTGTCATCATTATCCGCTCACATCTGTGTCTGCTTTACCTGTTTCAACTGTGTTTAAACCATTATGTCTCATTTTCTCAGGTTTGTTAGTGGCGCTGGTTTTTACTGAGTACCATAAATTCTTTTGGCCTGTGTCTCCATAGGGGTCAGAGCTCACAGAAATGTCTTTTCAAAGCAGCTAAATGGTTCAGTCTGTTTTACTTTGTACCCCTTCACCGTGTTGTTGTTTTATCTTTCTCTCAATTAAGAAACCTACATTGAAGCTGTCATCATTAATTTTAGATCCTACACAAAGCCCCAATCATCCGTTTGCTAAACTTGTTACTGACCGCAAAACTATAATCATGTGCAGAAGCTCCTGGTTCCCACAGGCCCAAGCACTTGTTTAAGTGTCCTGCCTTCCTAGCCAAGCTGTCTGGTAAGCATCTGTGTGCCCATGTGTGTGCCGGTGGGGCTCAACAACAAACTGTGCACTGTGTGTGTTTGGGGATGTGGTTACCGTTTGTACTATAACCGCTCATTGTATTTTTGTTTACAAGATATCCCGATATCCGAGATATCAGAGGCCTTAATCCCCTACACTTTAACACACTGAACAAAATCAAGATAATATGACCATAGCTCCAGTGCATAATGGCCGCTGTTGCCTGTCCCTCTAGGGCTGTGGTTTTGTTGCTTTATACAAAAGGGAGCATTTACACTTGAACAGGATAGGGTGAAGCACTTAGAGAATATCTTTAAACTTCAGCTTCAAGCTCCTCACCAGCAAGTATCGACACTGCTTAGTGTTAAGAACTCAAAAATATTTTTTAGCTGACCCCGACTTTGACTGTGGAAGGGTGAAAAGTACATTTTCTTTTAGAAGGACATTTAAATAAGTCTATATAGGCATTATTAGTAAAGAACATATTGTATTGTGTATGTAACAGAGTGCCTGGTCAAACATGTAGACATGGCAAATGTATTTATTACTAAGGTGCTAATCTCAGTTGTACTGTGTTCCTCAGGTGCAATAGATTGATGGCAGGACAAAAACTGATTTGTGCACAGTGTTTATTTGAAAGTAGCTAAAGAGAATACAAGCAAGCACATGCATAATTAACTGTACATTTCTTACCATGAAGTCAGGTAAACCAGACAGCTAACATGTCACAAGAAAACACAAAAGATGTGTGATTGACCCAGAGGTGGAAGTGTGGAGTTCTGCACTGGCTGATTCTCAGGGGGGGATTACACCAGGGATTACCTAGAACAGTGTAATATAGGGCAATGCTAAAGTTGTGCACAGAAAGATGCAGTAACATATCTACATAGGCTTTGCTAAAATATATTCTCAAAGGTCAAGGTCCTCAAATCAATGTAGGGGATGATGTATGTGTGTTGATTCTCATAATCAAACACACACATGGACAAACAGGAGTAAAGATGTAGTGCATTATAATTACTATGATATTGTAGTTACATTATATGATTTTCATATAATGATCATAGATCACGTTCACTTTGCTATTATCCTAACTTAGTAATTATAATAATTTAAAAATATATATTCCTTTTGCTAATTGCCATGTACTCAATTACTGTAGTTGTCACTGTATCAAATTGTAGCTAAAACTAGATGGCCACTCTTCAGCAGTCATTCTTGGTTTCAAACAGTCT